CAGTCGTTTCTGACATTGTACGAACTGGAGAGCTGTTTGTAGCAGCATGTAATGACAAGTTTCGGGTTCCAAACATTATTATGTCATTGTACGCTAATCATGGCTCATACCCTGAACCATGGCAGGTATTTATATGCAGAACAACGACAACAGCCGAAGAACTTACGTTATTTATAAAAAGATGTTTTTTTGCGGCAGCAAACGGCTACAGAGATTATTTGTACTGCATTGCTAACTTGGAGTTTCTTGAATTTGAGCTACAATACAATCTCGTTAAGGACATAAGAACGTTACTTGAAAAAGAGAAGGATTATAAACTGGCATTAATATGTTGCAGAGAGCATGGTATCCATCACCACATTCTCGACCAATTTTCAAATCATGTATACAATACAATAGGTCTCGAGGAAGCTTCCATGAAAAATATGTACAAAGAACTCTGCCCAAATGTGGCGTGTATCTCTTCAGATTTATCTGGTCAGGGTAAAACAGAGTATGTCAAGCAAACTTGTATGAAGGCGAAGTCAATTCCAAAAAGCGTACTGATAAGTGATGGTATGCATTACGATCGGCTCGTGCGTCAATTACATGAATGCAGACTGAAACGTTTAGAGAGTTTGCACCTGAACATTGTTTCTGTTGACAATGCCGCAGAAGTCAACATGTTTATTTTTGAGTTTCTTACGCTTGGGATGGTATCCAACAAAGTACATATTGCTACTCTTCCGAAGCAAGCTATCTTGATTGAGATTGCATCAACCGTGGATCAATATTTGCTTGAGTCATTGCCAATTATCAAATGTTTACCCCGAAAGCATCTTACCTGGAACATTAATAATTTTATTGTCTCAAGCGAAGTTCATAGTCCAATTCAAATTGTTTGTCGCTATTTGGACATATACACGAAAAAAGCGATTGATGATGATGATGTCTTTTTCGACGAAACTGTGGCCAAGCAATTACCACAAGCACGTTGTCGCGAACTCATACAACAGTACTTTTTTGCAAATAACCCAGAGACAATTGCGTCTTATCGTTTTGTAGAGATTTTCGTTAGAGTTCTTGCTGATCAATTAGTTCGCTTAACTTCAAGCTCTTTCTTCCGTGTTGAAAACCTCAAGTTGATGATGCGAAATTCAGATGTACGATCAACACTACTTGAGACTCTATTACGCGTGTCAAAAGATTTTGCGACACGCTCGGTTGAAAGCAAAGCAGCACAGAAAGCATCGACGGCAGCAGCCGCGGATAATGCTCGATTGGCCACAATAGTCAAATGGGATGACTCGAATCATTTGTTAGTATTTTTCTTATCGCAAACACCGGATTCTATTTGCGCTCTTTACCGTGATAGGACTAAGGTGCCAGACAATGTCAGACGTCTTTTATGGAGCCAAAAAGCATCAGATCGCGCACGTTTAGAAACATTTAAACTAGAAAACTATCACGAGATGACAACTCAAGTTTTGCAAGAACGCCTGGAATGTATCGCTCGTACATCGATGGAGAGGCAAAAATTTCCTGCTTATGCCTTATCAGCTGATAATCTCATAAAAATGGCATTAATATTACTGCGAGCACGTGCGAGCATACCAGTTGTGGTGTGTGGGGAAGCTGGATGCGGCAAGGTAAGATTTCTTTACTAGTTTGGGATTAATGTTTATATCTCCAGTAAAACTATATAATAATCGATGTCTTGCTTCTGTAGACGAGTTTGATCGGTTATTTGGCCGAGGTAGTGGGTGTCAAGTTCTGTAACCTCTCACTGCATGCCGGTATTGTTGAGAACCAGATTCTTACGTTCATGAGAGAAGGAAATAAACTTGCCGGAAAAGGAGAAGTGTGGTTATTCTTTGATGAAATCAACACTTGCAACCACATTGGCCTTTTGGCGGATCTCATAGCTCACAGAACGTTGTTAGGAAAGCCAATACATTCAAACATTCGTCTGTTTGCTGCTTGTAATCCTTATCGGTTACGCGTAGGTAATGATAATGTAGCGGGGCTAGCGAAAAGACGAGTCTATCAAGAGCAAAGTCAACTTGTCTATCAAGTACATCCTCTTCCTGATCAAATTCTTGACTATGTCTGGGATTTTGGTGTGCTCAAACCTGAAGATGAACGGGTAGGTGTCTATAAAAGTACGTTTAATCTCATGATAGAGCTACTAACTAATAGTTTCGTTCTATTACTTAGGTGTATATTAAAATTATGGTTGAGAGTCAAATAAGTAAGGTTGGCGTCATAAGTGATTTGCTGTTTGAGTCGCAAATGTATATACGTAAGATCGAAGGAGATCAAAGCGTAAGCTTGCGAGACGTTAGAAGAGCCATCAGATTGATTATGTGGTTCCACAAAAGTCTCCAAGATAGGCTTAAGTTGATGGAGGATGAAAAAAAGAAGAGGAAAAGCAAACACTACTATGACGGGGGATATAATGTTAACAATTATCCTCCAAAAGACAAATACTTTTTCGAGCGTTGCATTGTTTTATCATTGGGACTTTGCTATCAAGCTCGGCTTTACGATCAGGGTGAGAGAGAAGAGTATCGTAAACAGATGGCTCGTATTTTCGAGAAACACAAAGTTCGTCTGACCGCTGAAGACTTTAAACGATACCTTAAGGAGGAGCAGAATGATTGGATACGCAGAATGGCACGTCCACCCGCTACTGCCCTTAATGAGGCACTGTTGGAAAATGTGCTTGTAATGATCGTTTGCATTATGACGAAAATTCCTGTTTTTATTATTGGAGCACCCGGAAGGTGATTACCTGTTGTGAAGTATGCAATTTTTTGGACAGTACTAATGTATTACATATATTGTTAATTACTAGTTCCAAATCTTTAGCAATAAGACTTGTCAGCTCTAATCTTCGGGGGACTGATTCTGATGATGAATATTTCAGAAAATTACCACAGGTAATTATATAGAGCAATAATGTTTTACATTTTACATTGTTTAGAATGTCTCCTCTTACATATGCTTTGTTTTAAGGTTGTTATAATTCCGCATCAAGGATCATCTTCGTCTACATCTGACGGTATTCTGAAAGTTTTCCAAAAGGCAGAAAATATACAGAAGTCCAAATCCGATAACTTTAATTTACAGGCAGTAGTTCTTTTAGATGAAGTTGGTCTAGCGGAAACAAGTCCATTTAATCCCTTGAAGGTTCTACATGCGCTGCTTGAACCCAGTTATCCTAAGGATGGACCAGAGGTGTCGGTAATCGGTATAAGTAATTGGAGATTGGACAATAGTAAATCGAGTAGGGCATTACTGGTTCAGAGACCTCAATTGAGCGAAAAAGACCTTGTGGAGACAGCTCTTTCTCTTTTGTTGAAGGGCGAACGCGGACCATCAATTGACATGAACAGGCGCAATATACAAAACCTTGCCAAGGCTTACACAGATTACCAAAAAAACCAGAAATATCCCAACTTCCATGGTATATAGATGTCTTATTAGATAACATGTTTTGTGATTTCATGTATTGACATTATATCTTTGTGCCTTTTAACAGGTCTTCGTGATTATTATGCTTTAGTCAAAAGTCTGAGCAGAGGCAAACTTACTAGTGAGTCAAGTTGTGATATATGCATTTGACGATATTAAGTCAGTGATTTAAACGCTCTTTGTTAATTTCTTAGTGGATTCAATACAATTGGCCCTCGCACGAAATTTCGGGGGCACTGATCAAATGAAAGCAATATGCGAAGATTACTTTGGGAACGTATTGAAGGAAGCCGGTAGACTGTTCGGCTACAGCTATGATCGAATACCCGTTGAAAAATTAATTAATGAGAATCTTCAAGAGAAAGATGCCAGACATTTAATGATAATCGGAAAAAGTGATTCAATAGTTAACATACTTACTTATCATTTGAGGTCACTCGATATGGATCCAATGGTTCTTTGCGGATCGCAGTTTCCGGACGATGCAGAGGGAGATTATTCTTATGGCGTATTAAGTAGAGTTATGGTAAAGTCTCTAAATTACTCATGCAGATGTGTTTGTTGGTCACGACTTGCTAAAAATTATCACCTTGTAGATGTGCGTTGAAGCAGGAAAACCCCTTATCTTGACTGATCTGGATATTATATATGGTTGGTTTCGACTTCTTTAATATAAGAATTTGTTAAAAACATTTCATAATCTTTTCATATTTTTTATTCTTTAGGTAGCTTGTATGACCTGTGGAATCAGAATTACATAACGCAGGGTAGCAAAGACGATCCCAAATATTATACTAGAGTAGCTTTGGGAGCTTACGCCAATCCAATGTGTTATGTGCATCCAAATTTCAGATGCGTCCTTGTCTTTGATGAAAAACTAGTATATGACGCAGACCCTCCTCTTTTGAATCGGTTTGAAAAGCAACGATTAACTATCAACGATACACTCACGGAAGAGCAATCTCCTTTATACCTTCAACTTGAAAACTGGGTCAAGTCTATATCAACAATAACGAGGATGGAGGGTATTAATACGACTGGTGGATTTACCGAAGCGGATCTATTTATTGGATACGACAAGGATGAAACATTACAGAGTCTCGTGATCGACGAATGCAAGAAAAGTTTGACGCGTGATTATGAGGAAATTTTAGAGCGCTGTAAAGAAAGACTGATAAAAATCGCGTCATCTGATGGTCTAGTTAGGGCTACTTATTCCGCGTTAGCTACAGAGCCGGATGAAGTGATGAAATGGAGGACTTCTTACTTTACCCACGGGGAGCACGATCACATAGCAGCGTATTTTGAACAATTACTTGCAAATTCTTTATACAATGAAGGGTATCAATTAATAATACATACATTCAGCAATATTAACACGGATGTAAAGGGATGTTTGAAATCACTTTTGAAATGTCAAGTGGACAAGCTATCAACATTTAAAGCCGAGGCTCAACTACAGAGCAGAATCAAGCATTTCTGGTTTGAGAGCGACGATGAGCTGCTCCTTCTGCAGTGCGACTTATCGACAACAAGAGCGGGTAGTATTAAATTAGCAAAGTTTATTATTGAACAGTTGCGCAACGAATACTTTGCAAGAAGACAACGTAATGAGTATGTAAACAGGCCAGCAAAACATGCATGTATTATATTGCATCATCATCGGGATCAGACAAACACAAGTTCCTTCAACTTTATGTGTGGGTGGGAACAAGTAACTATTGAGACTTTAGTGCCTCAAGAGAAACCCCTGTCTGCTCTCATAGAAGGCGATCTAAGTGAAGTAATCAACTCAACATATCCTTTCGAAGAGATATTGCAACAAGAATTATTATGGTGTCTACTTTGTATTAAATATCCAAATTCTTCACAATCAATCGAACATGTTCGGTAAGTATCGACACTTCAACATAACTTACATACCCTGTTGCCAATTATTAACCATTGCTATTTTAAAGACGGTTGATAGAGGAAATTCCAAACAAGAAAGCATTCGTAGATATTTTGAAGAAGAGAATTATGCAATGGATTGACGAGAATACTAAGCCAAACTGGCAGTTACGCGTGGCATCAGATAAAAGGGCTATTTACTTACATTCTTCGTTCGCAGGCGCTCTATTAGCTTATATTCGTGTCCTGGTCAGGAAGCCCATTGCCCAGTTATTATATGCATTGGAAAAGCACTGCGCACTCCTGACGTTCTTCAACATCACTGACGATTTGAAGGAAGATGAAGAGTTGATTGAATTCTGGAAGGATATGTATCTAAACAAGAAGATTATTGACATTGAGGCGATCAAGGAGCCTGGACCAGATAACTATGCTATAGCTAGCGGCTTACATGACCTTCATTTCCCATTCTCGTATTACTTTATGAACCAAATTAATAGCTTCAAGAAAATATACGTTGACGATATTGCCGAATTGGAGGAAGATGAAAACAACGTCGATGAAAACGGCGAACTCAATGAAAATGTTGTAGAGGCTTATCTTGACAAATTCGAAGATAACATTTTCTCGGCGTTACCAACACTTAGATCTGCACCGCTGCGACGTTTTTCAAAGCTTTACTTTAGAGATTTTGTGACAGTTATTGCGTCCAATCATGGTGGTGACAAGGTTACCGGAATCCTGAAGTCTCTTCTAAGCCGTCTTATGGGTGAAGACAAAGTTTTGAACCCTATCCAGTTGCACGTATATTGGTGGACGAAATCAAATGCTGTTTTGGCGCAAATGCAATTAGCTTCATTATGCCCGACTATTATGGAGAATTTAGACGATTACGACGAGGATGAAGAAACGTTTGAACAACATATTATTAGAGAAGTGTCTCAAATCTTCTTGGATGAACTACGGCAACTTCCTGGGGAAGAAGACGTTCATGACAAGGCGATAAAGTGGCAGCTGGACGTCACCAATATTATGTCTCTTTGCGTCCAACTTCCCGGATACGACGAAGTGAAATCGTTCCAGCTACTCAGGATTTGTAATGATTTGCTTTCTACACAAGCTATTCCTGTTGACCGCCTCACAAATATTATCAATTTTGATGACGAAGATTTTCTTTCTGCGAATTTCTTGAACGAAGTACTCAACATTTTGGACAATCTCGAGCCAACGGAAAAGAACCTGACTTCACGTCAATCATTCTTGTTACGGTTCTTAAATATGATTGAGAACGATTCGGAAGTTCAGCTGTTCCTTTACGATAAAATATTCCAACCCGCAGAACCATTGCGTTTTACAGCGGCCGTCATTCTTCATATCTTGTCTGCGGAAGACATAGAAAATGATAACATATTCCCATTACTTGTGCAGAATCCTATGGACGCATTCGCAAAATCCAGACGCCTAGAAGCTGTTAACAGCCGATTGAAGTTGCATGATCCGAATTCGCAAATGATAACACTTTGTTGTGACATTATTCAGCAGAATTTCTTTAACGAACTAGACTTCCAAGTACTTGCTAGACTCTTCCACAGTGCGTCTCAGGCAATACGTGGAACAATGTCAGAACCATTGCAACGCATATGCTCTGTTGCGCTTTTGAAACAATTTGTTCAGGAGTTTTGGGAATCTGCTGGTTTAGATAAGCCAACCGTTCAGAAAATTGAGCTTAATTTTATGCTGACAGACGACACTCAAACGCTTATGAATGACCTGAATAATGCAATGGAACTCAATCATGCACAAATTCATTCGCTAAAGGTTTATTTCTTGAAAAATCTTCGATCTCGCGGCTTTACCATTGACGACCTAAAGAAATTCTGCATAGTCCAGAAGGGTTTGCTACCTTGGCTGGCAAAATTGCCGTGGGATTACGTTAATCAGGCCAGTCGAATCCCGTTCAATCCCTACGGCTTAGTTCAAGAATACGGTGATGCAGAAAAAGCCTACGCCGCAATGACAAGAGTGTTAGATAGGGATCAATTAGGCGATATTGTGAAGGATGCTTTAAAAGCTGAAAGTCTCAATTCACGCATTGCCCTTATTGGTATTATCGTCAACCATCTGTACGGTATTAGAGCGTCACGCGAAATGACCCATAACGAAAATGAAGTTGCTAAATTTTTGCGAGGCCAAATTGACAAGAATAAGTTTTCCGCATCTTATAAACATTTAGCCTTAAATTTAATTACCAATAATCACGCTTTATTGGCCGTTCGACAACAAACGGACAACGCAGAATTTATAATGCGATTGGTTCTCGTACACATCGTTGCAGTGCACGCGTCGCTGCCAGCAGAGTCTTCGCCATTAACTTTATACTTGCAAGGGTTACAGGTGGTAAGAAATCACTTTATTCTGACATGTCCTTCTGACGAGGAAACTATGATTATCAACGCACTCAATGACGCACATCCTGGCAATGGCATTTCTCGGTACGCTTTTTTTTCCTTTTTATTTTCATCTTTCTTTACTGTATCGATACTAATAGGGTTAATTGTGCAGATATCAATGTAAATGTGGCTACAAATACTTTGTCGCGGATTGTGGAAACGTCGTAATGGCGCTACGATGCCCGGATTGTGCTGCTGATTTAGGCGGTCATCAATACGGCGTACCAGCTGCTGGTCAACAGAGGTTGGATAATAAACCAATTTTGCAGAATGTCGGCAATAAAGACAAACCAGGTTATATCGTCGAGGGTGTGATGGAAGACGCTCGGCGAAACGTTCGCGCTCTCACGTCTGCAGCATATCGAATTTTACATCTTTTTGTGCACGCTTTGATTGGTGTGTCAGCTCCTTCACCAAACGTCAATGCCTTCTTGAATGCCAATGGAAACCCAATAAACGATCCGATCGCTTACTGTCGTAATCATATAACAAACGACTGGGCCATTTTAAAGACTCTCCTTGCATGTGACGATGAAACTTTAGCTTTAATAATACACAGTATACTGTATTCGATTATGGCAGACAAGCCTAATATGGACGCACATATAAAAACAGCAGCAGCTCGGGACCAGTGGGAGCAATATTTCCGTGACAAGTATGTGACTCCTATTATCAAGAATGTAGCAGCAACGGCAATGGACACACGCACAAAAATGGAAAGAGCTGAACCAGAGGAGAAACAAAAAGCCGCTCTACTTGAAACCGAGATAAACGAAACCTTATTGTTGACGGACGAGTATTCAAAGAATCATCTGCCAGGTTTATGGAGAAAGGTTGTGGGTGTGAATAGAGAAAGTTTTGCAGCTTATTTCGCAAATAATGAACAATACAAGGCGACATTCCCGTTCATTAACGTGTTTTTCAAACACGAAGAGAAGCTGCCTCTAGTTAAACATATATGGCCAATTGTTAAATTTACGCAGACATTAACGAGTCGATTGACATATCGTCTGACACGACAGAAAGCGCAGCAAATAACCTTCCGCGATTTTCTCACCAATGAAGAACAAAATGGTGCGCACCAAGATGTGATGCGTTCCCTGATTGAGTCTTTTGATAATTTCAAAAATGCTTGGAATTCTGTTAGATGTTTTATAGATAGATATCAGTGTCATGAATTGGGTCCGTGTCCTGAGATCACGGCAGACAGCTCTATTGCTTTCGGACTTCTTGAGGATAACGACGCAGGAATTTACCTTTGTGCCATGCTGGAGTATTTGATGAATATTCAGAATCAGTTCTTGACGGACGTGGCTGCTATTCCTTCTGAAAGTTGCCGTTCATTGAAGTTTATTGAACGTCAAATAAATACAAAGCGAGTGGATCAAGAAGACAAAATACTTTCTACTACAACAACCCAATACTACATAAGATGTGTACGCTTAGAAGACGCACGAAAACAAAACATCATTGATTACGAATGGGACATAGATTTATTGAAATATAGTCAACGCAATCTCAACTTTGGACATGGCCAGGAGATTTCGTATGACCTATACAAGATTGAAGCTGAGCTCGCTTTATGGCTTGTTCGCAACAAAGCCTTGTTGGAACCTGTTGAAAACAATGGTTTACCTCTAGAGAAAGTGGCTTATCATATGGAATTGTTTGAAATGTGCCAGGTTATCCTCGAGGAAATTAAAAAGAAAATTCCGCAAGAACCTATTCCGCATGAAAAAGTTGCTTTGATTACTGGAACGTCTTCTGTCGGGACATTTGAAAAATTCAGCATGTTGCAGACGTCCTCTATCGAAAAGCCCAACGATTTGTTGTCCGCGCTTGAAATTCTTTTATGCTTTGTCAAGAGAATGCCTACCGGTGACGGTGATGTCCTTCTACATGATTATGTCAAGCAATGGATGAAAATAGAAACGCTTGAGAAACATGCGGAAATGAAAAAGATACTGAAAGCAGGTTTAAAATTAAAACACGTCGTTTCGCTTTACGAGTTGGTGGAAGACAGAGTAGCCGATTTACTTATTAACTCTGTTGATCCGAAATACAAACGCGACATGGTGCCTGAGATACACAATGAATTGATGGACGCATGCGAATTTGAAGATACTGGTGGTAGACTCGGTAAAATCCCTGCTGCAGCTTTTGCAAAAGCCTTGAAGCGTTTTGCGTTGAGGGTGTTGTCTGTAAAACCGGTTGACGAGAAGTCGAAACTCAATTTATATTTGAGTCAGATGAACTTCTGGTCGGACGTACCCGAAGAGATTGTTGAAGACTACTTTCCAGAAAACTTGCTTGTCGCTCATAGTCATTCGGCTTATTGTGCGATCAAAA